GATCATGTTGATACACAGGGGCTTGACCATGAAAAGGGAACAAAGTCTTGCTTCGCAACCCGGGCTTGCATCCTCCCTGAGGTGCCATAAAGGCTTGGGGGAGAGTCTCTCTTCATCACTTCCAGTTGCCCAGTGTCCTTCACATGCCAGCTTCCAAGCTGTCCCTTCCCCTGGGCAAATGCACAGTGTCTCCTTTTCCCACTTAGAGAGGCACTTCCTAAAAAAGATCACCACCACACTGAGAAAGAAGTTTACCACCTTCTGGGTTTGCTGCTGGAGTTAAGAGTCATTCTGGACTCACGTCCAGAGTGTGTCCAGCACGTGCGCATTTCAAGTGGTTTTGATGATGTCTGGGTGATGGCAAATCCCTAACGGGGGTATTATTGTGTTTGTGACTTTTTTTTACCTTATTATCAGAGTTTGATGCCAGAGTGATTTTTTTTTAGTGTAAGATGCTTGATGGAAATCAATGCAAAAGCAGAGGTGCCTTCCCTGTCGTTGCTGCCGTGGCATCATGGTCTTCTGTCCTTTGGCAGAGGTGAGCCAGTCAGAACATCTCTTGGACCAGCAGCTGCTGGGGACACCTGCTGCTAATGGCAGTTTTGGTGTCAAATCTGTATTGTAATTGTAAAATCCCTGGGTTTGGAAAATACTGATAATAGTAAGATGCTGATAACAGCGTGTTCAGACAATCATGGAGCCACTTCATTTATGGTCTGTTCTGCGTGGTGTTGAGTCTCAGATATTTGGTGAAACTTCATGGGGTTCCCGTGGAGCATCAGGCTGGATCCTGCCACAGCTCTGGGGTCAGGCTCAACCCCCCTCCCTGCTGCTGGCATTTTTCTTTTTTCCTGAGGAAAATAAAACTCGCTTTTCATTGTTAACCCGAGGGGGGTTTCCTAAGCTTGCTTTGTGAGAGAGGGCTTGCTTCTTGAGCCTGAACATTGTGCGAAGGGCATGCCCTGCTGAGCGCATTGATTCGGCGCTTTAGTATTTTCTCTTTAACTTCTGCAAAATCACGGTTTGTCCTTAGGAAGGATGGCTGGGGATCTCTGTAAACATAGAGATATATATATGTTTTTTTAAGGCATGAGGATATAGTGCGCATCTCAAAAAGCTGGGCAATTTCATCTCCGCGCATAAGTTTGCTTTGATGAATACCAGGCTCTCTTATTAGCCAGAAATAACTCGATTTGTTTTTTCCGTGGGTCTGGTCTGAGAATGACGGTGATGAGGATAAATCGGGAGCGTAACCGAATGAAATTCAATATGTAAAATTAGTTGGGCAGGCAATGAGTCCCAGGCAATGGCAGCGACTGTTGGGAAGAGAAGAGTGGAAGGGGGAGGCGATGGGGAGCGGGGAGACTGATGGTTGCAGCCCTTAATAAAGTGGGAGCGAGATGGGG